AATCATAGTTTGTTAGCATTCTTTCAAGTAAAAATAGTATTCCATGAAAGAGATAGATCAGTTCACAATTTAAAAAGTTTCACTAGGGCTTTCCTCAAGGCAACCATAGTACTTCAGTGTGAAGCCAAAATGCTGTATGCAAACTTTGCATACTTCCCGCATCACGTTAAAACGACATTTACTACAAGATAAAGATGTGTTGAAATTAAAAATATTTTTGCTGCTTCTGCTGTTTCATCTTTTTCATTCTTAAGTGAAACTGACTTTCTCCTTTTCTTATTGAGTGCCTGACAATAAATAATACAGTGACTACTAGTACAGTTTGTTGCTACTGCATTGATTTATGCAAAGGCACCAGCATTTTACCCATTATTTCTTTTGTGCCATCAGTGAAAATGTCAACACACAGGCAAAAAAGCAAGCAACATCTTAGCATTATTATGAAAATAGTTTTGACCTTGCAGACCCTAAAAAGGTCTCAGGAACAATCAGGAGTCCACAATCCACTCTGAGAACTACTGGCTTTCAATATTGCAATGGCTCATTCACAGTTGGAATAAATCAAAATTTTTCCCAAGAACAGGAAGAAATAGCCTGCATACACAATTTTTTAAATTTATAATTCGAAGTTAAACAATCTTGAAAAATATTATTAGAACAGAATAAAGTTAGTGAAAAAGTTTGTGGACACACATTTTTCAATTTCAAAACTTTCTACAAAGTTACTCTAATCAAGAGAGTGCAGTGATGGTGTAAGGCTAGACAGTGTTATAGGACAGAGAGTCAATAAATAAATTATAACATTTATGGCAAATTGATTTTTGACCAAAAGGTCAATATAATTCCATGGGAAAAGAATAGTCTTTTCAGCAAATAATGCTGGGACAACTGAATATCCACATACAAGAGAATGAAACTGGACCCCTACCTCAAACCATACACAAAAGTTAACTTGAANAAAAACCAAACTCCTTCTCCAGGCATTTCCCCATTTTTCTCTGTTTTGCTTTACATCAAAACTCCTCAGATGAGACGTACTCACAAATGGCCGGTTGGCCATCATCCAGAGAGGATGTCATGTTTTTATGACACATGAATCTGCCAATATCTCTTTTTGTTACACATTAGTTTGGGGTGAGGGGATTGGGAATGGTGCAAAACAATTGGTACTAATACTTGGATTGCTTGTCTCAATGTGTCTTTTTTTCTTGTAGGTGCCTATATTATTGCTGTGGATTGTGTCTTCATGCAGTTAATCGGCATCTGAGCGAGCTACCTGCCTGACACTGAAGCCCCTTGCTGACCATTCAAGGCACCTCGCAGAGGAGGGGGCGGTGTGAGATTGTTAGGAGCCGGTCATGAGGGAGGGGTGGAGTGTGGAGGAGACACTGCTCCAGGACATCACTGCTGCCTGACCCATGAGCTAGACCTGGGCCAGAAAGAAGACTACTTACCACAATCCCCCCTAAAGACTGTTGATTATAATCAGTATTTATTCTGACATAAACCAG